AATCTATATCTATCGAAAAAGTTGACCGACAATGCTTAATTTCCGTAATAATAATTCTTACTTTGCAACAGAGCCAAAAACTTGATCCAATCAAAAGCTTGATCCAAAGAAAAATCTAGTAAGTTTTTCACTGTGAAGCAAATAAAAATACAGTTATAATATTTAAATATTGGATACTATACAAGCATATGTATCATTATCAAGTAATATATGACTTTTTTTATTAAGCCCCGAACATCGAACCCACAGGGAAAACTACAACATGCAACTTACAAAACAAGAGAAACTAGATAACAAAATTCTACTTAGCAAAATATTCTTACTTAAACTCTAGATGCTATAATAGGAATGAAAGTTTGATTTTTTTTTGTAATTTTTAAAAATTTAAAATAAAATAAACAACTAACTAACTTATCTGCAAGATGAAGGCAATATAAATAAAATATATTTTTTCTTATCACGAATCAGTAATAAGTATACAAACTCTATTATGGAAGTATTCTAATTATGTTGTGTCAAATAGGAGCAATAATAGTCTTTACCATTACTAGAGATGCTATAAAAATATTGGCTAATATATAGTTTGAATAGACTTGAAGACATGTTAGGTAAGAAAGATACTAACTCTCACTCTAGAGTTCCCTCTTTTCCCTCCACCTGGGGGTTAACATCTCCTATCAAAACCTAAAACTATAAATCAAATTGGGGGCTTTAACTTTTCACTCTAAAGTCCTTTAATTCTACACCCTTCAAAGTTTATTTCCCTATTTATTTGCACTCAACCCCATGAACTACATTCTCATCCATGAAATCAAATGTGATTGTTACCATTTGTTGACTGAGACAATACCATCTCGAATCTTACATGTTCTCACAACATGTATTAACATCTTAATTGGTCAAACCAAGAAGTAAATGAAGTACAAGGTTTAAAATCATCACAACTTCTTCCATTACAATTAATTCCAGCATTATAGATCAAACTTCACACAACTTCCCTCCAATACTTAATCAATTATCATTTTAAGTAAAAAGATAAATAAAAATACTCATAATTCATGGAGAAAACACAAACACATTTGACCACACTTGAGTTTGAAAATAGAAATCATGCTCACAAATAAGAAGCCTAAATTAAAATCAAATGTAGTCACAAAAAATAAAAACTTATCTCAAATCCTCTCCACCATGTTGAAGTTCCATTGAATATCTTCCTTCACTTACAATACAAGCTAAAACTTAAAATAAAAAGAAAAGTGGAAGGCGGCGGCGGCGGTGATGGGCGGCGACGGCGGCAGACGGCGGCAGCGGCATATGTGGTGGTTGGCACTGGATTGGTCTTATGGATGATCTCTCTCTCTCTCTATCTTTCTTTCTATGGATGATCCAAGTATTCTTTTATAATTTTCCAAAATGTGCATTGGTGTCACTTCAAAATGTTTTCCCATTAAATGAATCTTCTAGAAGTTACCTTCTTTCAAAAGCTACAAAAGCTAATTGATCCTTCTTTCAAAAGCTAATTGATTGAATTTTCATGTCCATTAACTATTTCCCATGTTTTCACCAAGGGTTGCTTCAAACACCTCTTAAAAAATTCATCCAAATTCAATGTATCATCAAATAACTACTTATGACGCTTATGTGCGGGGTACCTGCCACTTAGGCGCAGCTCACTCTATATATATGGCAAGTAAGCGTCAGTCCTGGGCGCTTAGACGCCTCAGTTCATTTTTGCATATTCTTCATTTTTACTCCAAATTTGATCATTTTTCACTCAATTCACCATTTTTCATCCATTTGATTGTACCTGAAAGAAAAACGCACAAACGACTTTCATTAAAGTGCAATATAACAAAAATAGGTATAAAAATGTGTACATAAAGACTATATATTTTAGGCATATCAGTATGTCAGATATTTGTTTTTCTAGTTCTTCATATCGATTTTAAAATCATTGCACTATTATTTTTTGTGTTAGTTTTGCAAGCTGTACTTGTAAATCTCAATGAGGTGATGTCCCAAAATGTTTAAGAACTTCATTTTTAAAAGTTTGTCAAGATGTGATTTGGTTATTATTATGTATCCATTTATACCAATTCAGTTCTGGTCCATCCAAATGTATAGATTCTTTGATGAAATGTTGGTTTTATGATATGTTGTAATATGAAAAAAAAATTTCATATTTGAATAACCAACAATGTGGGTTATCCTCTCTGAATGTTGCATATCAATCTTAATGTTGTAAATATTCAGGCTATTTGAGATTGATTGCTCATGTTCTGATGATGTAGCCATGCATTATTGGTTGTTGATCAAATTTGGCTCCATTTGTGAAAAATACTGTCATGTCATTAATCACCATGTTTAATGATGATATGTGTGCCTCTATTTTGCCAAGTCAATTGACAAATTCATCCAAAGTTTTTATAGTGTTTTTTGTGACTTCTGTTATGAATAATTGTTTACTTCTTGCTCTAATTTGATAACAGGAGGTGAGGTGAAGAATCAACAAAAGCATCATTGATAGGGCTTGGTCAGTTTGAATTAACTCAATTTTATCCTAACCCTGGCCCCATTAACCTTGGTTTTCTCGATCCTCACTCCTCCAAATCTTTCTTTGACAGTGATTTATTGGATCTGGAAGGTAGGTAGGTCATCGACGACAGTGTGGTCGACTAACTGAAGATGGAGAATGACGTCCTTCATATCAAAGCTAAAGCTTGCTGGTGGCTATTCGATGAAGAGTAAAAATGGCGGCATATGTTGACAGAGAACGAGCTTCTCCGATAAGTAGGTACTAGGAAACAACTGAGGCTACAGACAACACCGCCCCAAAACATGAAAGATTTAGAGAGCCAAGGCGATGCCACTTCATCGACGGGACATGAAAGCTTTGTCGCTTGGGATAGTGACTGCAGCCGTTCAAGGAATGAAATTTTAGCCTCGTGGTCATATTTCCCTTGCTCTTGCTCTATTTTTCGATTGTAATTGTAAATTTAGGTGATGGGTGAGATTGTGTTGATGTGCTTGAGAATATGAGTGTAAAGGAGTCGAGTCGAGCTCGAGTCGGTCTCAGCTTGAGACTGAGTTTGATTAATTAGTTTAGTTCGAACTTGAGCTCGAGCTTAAGTTCACGTATTAGAGATGGGTCATAAGCCAACATTTTTATTATAAGAAAGAAAAAATAATATTAATTTAAACTAGTGCTATAGTAAAATGATAAATACATAAAGAAGTTACGAGAGAAATAACATGATATCACTTGAAATTAAATTATAATATTTTTTTTATCTATTTTTACCATTTTAAAGATAAAATATTGAAATTTAATATATTTTATATCAATATGTTTTTAAATGAGTTCACTCATGAGTTAACATGTTGAGTTGGGCCTGACGACTCAGCAGTTGGCTTGGCTCACTTCTACCTCAACATAAGAATATGGGAATTGGTTGAATTATATAAAGGAATGACCAAAAGCTATTATACGAGCCTCCGACCACTCTTAATGTGCCTAACAATTCGAGTACCACCTTCTCAAGGTCAACTATGCCAGAAGGGGTTCGAACCCCCGACCTGAGAGGACTTATACCGTGGATGCCAACCAAGTGATCCGTGTGCGCAGCACCACACACACATGCACAAATAGATGTATACACATGTGAGCTTTATAGTTTTAGGTGTGTTGTGTGCTACTAAAATTGTGACGGTAGAGTGATTTATTAACAACTTAGTATTGCACAAATAATTGACACACCCATGTAAAAAAATCGATAGAAAATAACATGAGTTTTTACGTGAAAAACTCATAAACGAAAAAAATTGTTCATTATTTAAAATTAAAAAAATAAAAGAATCACCGATAAAAGTCCAATCTTAAAAGAAGACTAGGAATCTTAAAAAAATAATGAACAACTTTTAGATAAAAGATCAATAAAATAAATACTTTTGCTCAAATAAATTTCAAAGAAAATATTTTATTCATCTCCTGCACATGTCGTTAACGTAGCTACGCCTCAAAATTCAGGCGCAACTGGCACCACTTAATCCAAAGCCCCACGTAAGTCCCCCCACCAATCCATTTCATCTTCTCCGAGAACCCCCATGCCTCTGTTCAAAAACCTACCACAGCCCTAATGCCAGATTCCGGCGATGAACCGCCGCTCCATTCCCCTTCCACTGCCAAAGTTCTCTTCGAAACCTACGAACTTGGCCGCCTCCTCGGCGTAGGAGCCTTCGCCAAGGTATACTACGCCCGCCATACTCGCTCCGGCCACAGCGTCGCAATTAAAATGATCAGTAAGTCCAAATCCCTCCGATGCGGTCTCTCTGTTAACATCCAGCGCGAGATCGCCGCCATGCGCCGCCTTCACCATCCCCACATCATCCGTCTCCTCGAGGTCCTCGCCTCCCGCTCCACAATCTACTTCGTCATGGAGTACGCAAAAGGCGGCGAACTATTCGCTCGGCTTTCATCCAGAGGCCGCCTCCCTGAAAACCAATCCCGCCGCCTCTTTCACCAGCTGATCTCCGCCGTCGCTTTTTGCCACTCGCGCGGCGTTTTCCACCGCGATCTCAAACCAGAAAATCTTCTCCTCGATGAATTCAATAACCTGAAACTCTCCGACTTCGGTCTCTCCGCTGTTAGATACGGCGGAGATGCACTTTTCCAGACGCTCTGTGGCACGCCGGCGTACGTTGCACCGGAGATTCTGTTGAAAAAAGGGTATGATGGTGCTCAGGTAGATATCTGGTCATGCGGTGTTATTCTCTTTGTGATGAATGCGGGGTATCTTCCTTTTAATGATCCGAATCTGATGGCGATGTATCGGAAGATTTATCGGGGGGAATACCGATGCCCTAAATGGACCTCTGCGGAGCTGAAATGGCTGATTTCGCGGATGTTGGATACGAATCCGGCGACGCGGATTACGATTGAAGGGATTTTGGCAGATCCGTGGTTCAGGAAGGAAATGGATGAGGAGAGGATGAGGAGATTGATCAGATTTCGAGAGGATATTGAGGATAGGATCATGAAAATTGAAAGCGAGGATGATGAGAGGGATTTGAATGCGTTTGATATAATATCCATGTCGGGGGGATTTGACCTATCGGGGTTCTTCAATTCCACGGCGGCGCCGAGGGAGATGTTTGTGGTCGGGGGAAGGGTGGATGAGGTGTTGGAGAGGGTGGAGGAGGTGGGGAAGGGGGAGGGTTTGCGAGTTCGCCGGCGGAGAAGGGGGGAGAAAGGGAGGGGTGGTGCTGCGGTGGATGGGAGGATGGGGAACCTTGTGGCGTGGGTGGAAGTTTCACGATTGTCGCCGGAGATGGTGATGGTGGGGGTGGAGAGAGGGATTGGGGAGGAGGCTGAGAGGTTGAGCCGTGAGTTCTGGAGGGAGAAATTAGCGACGAGAGCGAAGAGAAAGGGGGGCGAGCTGCTGCAACAGCCGGCGATGGAAGAGGTCGGCGAAGCTTCAACTAGCGGCGAGTCGTCG